GGGTGTTTGCCTTGCACGCAGCCAACATGGCCGACCCGAGTTTGATTCCTCCGCCCCTCTCGGAGAGCCCGGCAAGCTACCGAGAGTATCTCGCCCGCACGGCAGAGCCTGGCAAGCTCCCCGTGATGTATTCGATATGCCACATACAGTAACAACAAAGTCTCCAATGGAGACGTTACTGTGACCGCTCGAGCAAATCGATCATCAACGGGAGGGCCTTTACCTTTACCTTTATATATATACATATGTGTGTGTGTGTGTGGGCTGGAGCGATAGCACAGCAGTAGGGCGCTTGCCTTACAAGCGGCCAACATGGCTGACCCGAGTTCGATTCCTCCGTCCCTCTTGGAGAGCCTGGCAAACTACCCGTGATGTATTTGATATGCCAAACACAGTAACAACAAGTCTCATGATGGAGACGTTACTCGGCCCACTCAAGCAAATCGATGAACAACGGGAGAAACTGTGACATACATATATGTGTGTGTTTGTGTATGTGTGTGTGTGTATATATATATATACATATATATATATATATACATATATATGTAATTTGTTTGCGGGGGGCCCGCAAAACCACTCTCCGTCCCGCAGAGATGGCCCTAGGATCCGTAGGTACAGGGAAGGACCGACCGAATGAACACAAGACACAAGAGACAGAATGCAGCTCAGAAACAGAGAGAAAAAGGGACAGACTTTATTGGGGGCAATCAGGGTTTATATCCATTAGCGAGGCAGCTACACAGAAGGTCGTGCCCATATATGGTCAGGGAGGTTTGTTACACAAAGGGCCATGTCCATATGATTTATATGCATCACATACTAGACATGAGATAGTTACTTCTTGTTATCACCATACCTCAAGGTAACCATACATAGCACTGGCCTTGCCTGTTGCAGGTCACGTAATACAGGCTGTACCTGTTGCAGGTCACGTAGCACAGGCACTTAGGCCTTGGTCAGTTAAAGGGCCAGCTTCCCACATTTGTTCACAAGTCCACCTCCACCAACCAGTTTTGTAGAATGCAGGTTTGGATTTTGGCACTACAGGTGGCAGAACTTTGAGCTTACCTGAGTGGTGCTTGGGGAATCCTGCGTTGTACAGGAGACTGTACCATGGCAGATTGCTTGCAAGGACTCGTCCTGCATTCCTGGCCTACCTCTGACCCAGGAATTCAAATTCTATATAAATACTGTGAACCTTGTGTGAAGGATACAGACAGAGGGCAGGGATGAGGACCAGCTAGTAGCGGTCAGGGCAGGGTTGTTGGCAACAGGGGCCTCCTGGTGCAAACCTGAGCCAGAAGTACATGCTGCAATTTCAAAGGTTTGCAGCGGCCCGAAAGAGCTGACAGTGAGTGGCTGGGCAGTTGTCATGAACGCAAAAGACTTAACTTCACAACCTGAATTGCCAAGGAGTGATCCCAGAGCACTGCTGGGTTTGGCAAAATCCCGCATAGCCAAACCTCCTTCTGCCCAAATAAAGGCAATGAGGAGTTAACTGCCAACAGAAGAGGTGTGAAATCTAGTAATATATTCTGAACAGTCAGTCCTCTGGGTTTGTTGTTTTGTTTTGGGACCACATCCAGAAATGCTCAGAGCTTACAGGCCAGGTTTTCAGTCTATGATTTTACTCCTATGGGTATGTGATTTTATAAAAGAAAAAGAGGATGAAAAATTATCCTTGGAGTCAGAGTGATAGAACAGTTGGCAGGGCATATGTTTGGTCCCCAGCATCACATACAGTCCCCCAAACACGGCCAGGAGTGATTCCTGCGTGCCAAGCCAGAAATAACACATGAGCATTACTGCTGTGTCCCAAAAAGAAAAAAGAGAAAAAAAAGAAAAGAAAAATTAAATTTAGCCCAAACGAGATTTTAAAGTCCATAATTTTGCCCAGAGCCTCCAACTCCTTCATTTCCCCTATCTGTTGAAAGGGCTCAAGAAATTTCATATGTAAGAACTTTCCATGAAGGTATAAACAGGAGAGAGCATGCCAGACTGAAGCAGATGCCAGCCACCTGGAAGCCCAGAGGGCCTTCCCTGGTATCGAGTGTCCACTAGTCCCCTGAGAACAGAGCAGGGCACAGACCTCAAGTACTACCAGGTGTGGCCCCAAATCTCACCTCATTTGCTCCCCAAGTACGGAGATACACTCAAGGAGAGGAGCTCAGAGGGATGAGCACCTGATTTACTTTTGGGGGACATAGCATGGCTCCCCCCGCATCTCAGACACACAGACACAAGAGGGGGAGAGTCTCTGACTATCTCCAAGTTTGTAGCAAATGGGGGGAGAGAGGGAAAGACAGGAGAAACACTCCAACCCCAAAAAGATGCTCAAAGAATGCTCATGTGTCAAGACAAATTCTGAAGTGGGAGCGTTGGAGTCATACCTAGTGATGCTCAGGGGACAATATCACCTAGTGATGTTGTGGCAGGGATAACTCTGGTCACCGCTAGAAAGACAAACGCCCTCCTGGCTATAGTACTGCACCAGTCCCTAAGAGTGAGACATTTAGAACCTATTGCAGCTGGTCCCTGGAAAACCACTTTCTGCAAGTACTCACTTCAACAGCAGGGCACACTCCTGGTCTTGGAGAGATGAACAGTGGAGATGCTTGGAATCTGGACAGGTGAGGCAGAAACTCTTTTTTCTGAGGAAATATAATCACATAGGGCTAGAGCGATAGCATAGCGGTAGGGCGTTCGCCTTACAAGCGGCCAACATGGCCGACCCCAGTTTGATTCCTCCGCCCCTCTCGGAGAGCCCGGCAAGCTACCAAGAGTATTCGATATGCCAGACACAGTAACAACAAAGTCTTCAATGGAGACGTTACTGGGCCCGCTCAAGTAAATCGACGATCAACGGGAGGGCCTTTACCTTTTACCTTTTATAGGGTTAGCAAAGCTAATAAATTGATAGGGTGCTTTTCTTTCAAGGAGCTAAGCCGGGGTCAATATGCAATAGTACATAGGCTCACCCACTCTAGCATTGCTAAAAATGATACATGAACTCAGAACCAAGAGTAACCCCAGAGCACTGAGTGTTGCTGTGGCCAAAAAAGTACAATAAATTAAGTAATGAAGACATTTCTGGGGCCGGAACAATGGTACAGCAGGTAGGGAGTTTCCCTATCATCCGGCCAACCTGGGTTTGATTCCCGAAATCCCATATGGTCCCCCAGCACTGCCAGGAGAGACTCCTGAATGCAAAGTCTGAGGAAACCCTGAGCATCGCTGGGTGTGACCCTAAAAAGCCAAAAAAAAAAAAATTTCTGTGTAAAGAGATTGGAGACACAGTATAGCAGGTGAGGTGCTTGTCTTGCACTCGGCCAAACCAAGTTTGAAACCTGGCATCCCATACGGTAACCTTAGCCTCGCCAGGAGTGATCCCTGAGTACAAAGGCAGGAGAAGTAACTGAGTCTTGCAGTTGTACTTCATACAGATTAAATAATTATTTCATTTAAACGAATAAAGGTGTGGTGGCCAATAGTGATCCTAATTTGCATTATTAGAGGGGTTAGGGCACACTCTGGAAGTGCCCAAGCTACTTCCTGCTAAGATGGCAGATTTGGTTGCAAGACCCACTGTAGCAACACCCTGATGCACCCCTCCAGACTGCAACCTGTGTTGGCTTAAAGCTCCACACCTTGGGGCCTGAGTGACAGCATAGACAAATGAGCATTTCTTTTGAAGGTGGCCAACCTGGGTTTAATTCCGGGCATCCCTTATGGTTCTGAGCACCACTAGGAGTGCTTGCTGGATTTAGAGCCAGCAGTAACCATAATGCCTCGTTGGTTGTGACCCCAAATGCAAAATAAATAAAAAGGAAAGAGAAGCTCCCCACCTCCCTGAACTCCCAGAACCCACTGAATGCACAAGAACCAGTGAACATCAAAGGCTCTGCCAAATGCTTTTGAGCCCCACGCAGATAAAGAATATACCTAGCCCCTCCCCCCATCCAGTCCGGCCACACCCCAAGAATGACAGGACAGAGGGGAGGGTGTTTTTTTCCTTCATGCTGCTAACCCAGATATGGGGTACCCTGAGCAACCCCAGGTTTGACCCCTGAACACTGCCAGGTGGGGCTCAACACCCCCCCACGAGGAAAAAGAATGCGCCCCCAGGTCCCTTTGATGAGGGAATCCCACGCTTTAGCCCTACTCCACAATCAGCCTAAGGAATGAAAGGGGGCCAGTAACAGGATGTCCCGGGGACATTGCTGGGATGATCCACCCACCCCTGTGACTGACCAGGTGCTGGTACTCGCCCTGAATCTAAATTAACGCTGAGGTGCCCTCACCCGCCCCATCAGATCCGGGGAAGACTGAGGCTCCCCCTAGCTCTGACTCTTTCTGCTTTGTGAGGGGCCCGAGCGACGGGTCAGCAGGGAGGGCGCTAGCCTCGCATCCCGACACCCCAAAGGGTCCTCGGATCCCCAGGGGGGAGTCCTGAGCGCCATTGGGTAAGGGTCCAAAACACACAAAAAAACTCTTTTCACTTTTGTTTGTTCGGTTATTGTCCTTGTTTCTGGAGCTTTCAGAACGACCTTAGCCTTCAAATTCGTTTTTCTCCTCGACCACGTGCTTCCTCTGCCCACCCACCCTTTTTGGAGGGGCTGGGGGACTTTGCTCAGGGGTTACTCCCGGCTCTGGGCTCACTCCAGGCCGTGATCAGACGCTGTGACGTGCCGGGATCGAACACGGCCGGCCGCGATCCCCCCTTATGCATCTACCTAAATAAGTTCTACTTAGTAAAAACGACGGTTTTTCCCTCAAAATCAATTTATAAAAAAGATAAAACTTTCGGCAGGGGCTCTCAGTGCGACCCGGGTGAGGGGCCGCCACCCCGGGCCACCGCCACGGAGCGACCCCGCCGCCCACAAGGTGGAGACCGCGGACGTTCAGGCACTCAGAGCGACCACCCGGACGGGAAACGGTGAAACCGACCTTCCGCGACCCCCTTACCCCCCCTGGGTGCGCCCTCACCCACTCCTCACCTTCCGCAACCACGCGACCCGCTGGCACTTCCGCTCCGAACGCCTAGGCCAGCGGATAAAGGTCGCGGATTTTGTGACGTCACCTGCACGGTTGCCAAGAGCCTTAAAGGGCCAGGCTTCAAATATTCCTGACCAGGTAATTCCCTGGTCAGAGAGGTTCATTTTTTCTCGTTTCCAGCATCCCATACGGTCCCCCAAGAACAGCCAGGAGTAATCCCTGAGTGCAGAGCCAGGAGTAACTCCTGTGCATCTCTGGGTTTGACCAAAAAAAAAAAAGGCAAGAGAAAACAAAAAGAATGACAGTGATAATTGTGATTGAGGGGTGGTTTTTGTACCCATTCACTTAGTTCCTATTTAATCAGTTTTCACCTGAATTCCATCATCGAGACGCATTATTTACAGGGGCAAGAGCAATAGCACAGCGGGTAGGGCGTTTTCTTTGCATGCAGCCAACCCAGGTTCGATTCCCAGCATCCCATATGGTTCCCCGAGTACAGCCAGGAGTGATTCCTGAGTGAAAAGCCAGGAGTAACCCCTGAGCATCTCCGGGTGTGACCCAAAAAAAGAAAAAAAAAGGACACATTATTTACAGGTTAACATACACATCAAGTTCAAGTGCTGGGACACTGGCATAGGAAATAGTAATCATTTCTATAATTATTATGGTTTGCTATATAAGGCAACTCAGGAGGTTAATTCAGGTTCATAAGGAACTCAGGCCTTAGTAGGCATATGAAAATACACAGTGGCAAGAACTCTTAAGAGTGTACAGAATGGGAAGAAATTTGTGTTTCCCTGAACTGCAATCATCAGCAATTCCCTTTCCCTCATAGTACTGAAGTCACCAGTTTAATTTGAACTTGAGAACTGTAACATAAAGAATGAACTAGGAGTGTATATTTAAGATATCAAAAGGTTGAAGCAGAGTGTTTGCCATAGGATCCCCCAAGAACCACACTCCCAGAGTAATTCCTGAGTGCATATTCAGGAGAAACCCCTGAGCATCACCCAGGTGGGAAACAAAAATGAAAAAAAAAATGGTCAAAGGGCAAGCCCTGAGGAACCCAGAGATAATGGAGGCATTGTGTATCCCACCCAAGGCCTGAGGGAGATTAAATGATGCATTCAAGGTAAATTGAAATTCAGATTTTAGGGACTGCTGGGCGTTTGTCTTGCAGGGGATGATTGGATATGATCCCTTTCCCTCCCAGGCCTACCAGGAGTGATCCTGCCTGTGGAGCCAGAAGTAACTCCTGGGCATTTCTGGTTGTGCCTTACCCCCACCCCTACAAAAAAGTACTTGTTTTGTGTATTGAACAGAAAGCGCTATGTCAGGGGGATCAGTTTTATAAATGACAGATGTGAGCAATTTCAGTGATCCCTGTGATCAAGGCTTTCTCTGCCTGTAGATGGTTTTTCTGGGCTCACCCCCAGTATCACATGGTCTCCTGGTACCACAGGGAGTAATCAGCTACCTGGGCAGCACTGGGAGCCTTAGGATTTGCATCTTTGGGGAGGGAGACACAGTTAGCAGTGCTCAGGGCTTATTTATTCCTGCCTTTGCACTCAGGCATCGCTCCTCTGGGGCCAGGGTTGAGGTCTCCTAAAGTCCTAACGTCCAGCACCTCCTAATGGTTTGGAGGGAATTGATGTAGGCATGCAGGCAGATAGAGAAGGTTCACCCTCCCAAGGAAAAGGCAATAAATTTCCTGGGAATAGCTCTGATGTTGTGAAGGCCAACCTTGCAAAAAACAGGAACTAAGGCCTGATGACGCCCTCACCTATGGCCAGCAACAGACCCAGAGAAGCTCCTGCTGAAACAAAAGGCCAGAAAAGGAATTTCAAAGATCATCACCACTCCCAACCTGCCTAGGCAACCTCCTTAGCAACGGGACTTTGACCTAGGTAAAAGCCTAGATTGGATTCCCTTCTGTTCCAGGGAGACCACTCATTGGCTTTCCCAGACATTTGCGGGAGCAGGGCAAGTGGGGGGGGGTCCCCGAATGTGGGAACCAAAGTCGGACTCCAGAAGGATGTGGAGCCCCCCACCACTGCTTCCGACCCCCTCCCCCAAATTATATAGTCAGATCAGGAGGTGTAGACCAGGTGGGGTGGGGTGGGGGTTGGGGGATGACCCCAGACCTCAATGGGGGAGCACCCCAATGGTTCTGCTTCATTCTCGAGGGGTCCGTGTGCCAAGAGAAGGCGGCCTCTGGTGGATTCAACTGTCTTACACCCTCAAAGGGCTGGAGGGGATGAGAGAGTCCAGCATCTTCCGGCCCTGCCTGCGTCTGACTGGGCCTTGGGTCAGAGAATAAACTGGGGATCTGTGTCCGGGTGTCCCTGCTGCCTGGGGCTCGCCCCACTCACTCTATGTGTGGAGGCACACCCAGTGGGCAGTGCTCCAGAGCCAGCTACCCAGGAGCGAAGAGGGTGACACAAGAGAGAGGCTTGCCTTCCCGCAGTACGATGTTTCCAACCAACTCAGTTCTAAAGGTCTCCAGACCCCACGTCCACATATCACAGCACCCCGCATTGCTGAGGGTGCCATCTTCTGTCCTGAGTTTTGAGGTTCCTATACACATGAGAAGTCCCATGTCTTCTGTTCTCCGTGGAGGAGGGTGGCAGAGGCCAGATTCAACGCCAACATCTCCAGATGTCTGGGGTGAAGGTAACAGCCATCTGAGGAACTAGGGTTTGTTAAGAATTATTTTAATTAACACAGAAATATTGAGCCTTAAGACTGGGCAATATCCTTCCCTGGAAAATCTAAATATATCACTTCTTCCAAGGATTTTTTTTGCTTTTTGGGTAATACCCAGCAATGCTCATGCGTCACTCCAGTCTCTGCACTCAGAAATTACTCCTGGTGGTACTTGCGGGACCATATGGGATGCCGGAGATTGGACACAAGTTGGCTGTATGCAAGGCAAACATCCTACCAGCTATACTGTAGCTCTGGCTCCGAGGGGTTTTTCTGAGGGGGAACTGTTTTGGTGTGTTCCAACAGGGTTCTGGGAAACACTGAGTACCTGGGATTGAACCTGGTTGGTTACAAGCAGGGTGAGATTATTTTGTCGTTGTTCTGTTCACTTTGAACAAGAAAAGTTATGGGCCCTCTTTGCTCTGTCTGTGGCCCAGCTCTTTGGAAAGGTCTCCAGTTATAGTCAACCCCACATGCCATCACTCCACTTTCTGAGGATGCCCCAACCGTCTTCTACAAAGAAAAGTAGTCAGAGATACAGAGAGATACAGCTCAAAACCCACCAAGTTAGGGTGGGGGAATCTGCCATCATGGGACTGAGGCTGTTTTGGTTTTATTTGGTTTGTTCATGGTTTGGAGGCCCAACACGAGCAATGCTCAGGGTTACTCCTGGCACTCAGGAATCACTACAACATGATGGTGGGGCTGTATGGAGAGCCAAAGAAAGAATCTTCTTGGGGGTCGAATGGGTTGCTCCCGCTTTGTCTCTGGTCCACGAGGGGTACAGAGGATTGAACTGACGTGGAAAGTGCGAGCCAAAGTCATTTATTTTCATTTTTGTTCTCTTCACTGAGCTAGAAACCTTCTGAAGTCACTTTGCTATGTCTGTGACCAAGCCATTGAGAAATATTTCCTGTTATGGGCAACACACACCCCACACCCCACATTCTGAGGGAGCCCAAACCTCTACTACATGGAAGAGGCAGCATGGATACAGCAAGATACAGCTCAGAAACCCCACAATGGAGTGAGGGAATCCCCCAATAAGGGACTGGGGCTGTTTTGGTTGTATTTGGTTTCTTCATAGTTTGGGGGACACAAATCCAGCAACAACAGAAGTTCTCCTGATGTTGCATTGAGGAATACGGCATGATGGTGGGGCTATATGGAGGGCCAGAGAAAGAACTGGGGCCTCTGACTGCAAGCCATGAGCACTAACCACTCTGCTCCCGCTACAGCGACCCAAGTGGCTTGCTTGATCCTTAATGACCCTATTCCTAACATTAAAGCAAAGAAATGGGCTGGAAATCTAAAGCGTGGGAAAGGTGGGCCGCGGCAGTTCCGGCGATACGCCAAGAGATGGTGCTGTGGGCGTTTCTGTCCCTCCCTGGGATGGTTTCTTTGTTATTTATTTATTTATTTATTTATTTTATTAGTCAATCACCATGAGGTACAGTTGTAGACTTACAAATTTTTGTGCTTGGGTTTCAGTTATACAATTATCGAGTACCCATCCTTCCACCACCACTGATCCCAGTTAGTCCCTCCCATTCCCATCCTCCCATCCCACTCTGCCTCTGTGGCAGGGCATTCCCTTTTCTTCTCTCTCTCCTTTTGTGGGCAGTGGTTTGCAAATGAGGCATTGAGTGGCAATCATGTTCGGTCTATAGTTATCTTTCAGCATGCATCTCCCATCCTGGGTGGATCCTCCCAGCACCCTTTATTTGGTGCTCCCTTCTCTATCTGAGCTGCCTTTTCCCCTAGCATGTGTGGCTGGCCTCCATGCGATGGAGTAAACCTCCTGGCACTTGCCTCGGCTATTCTTGGGTGCTAGTCTGAAATAAAGGGACAGACATAGAAAGATTGCTTTCATCTGGGAAACATAAAGTAACAAAACGTGCTCGTTTCTCTAAGAATTTTCCACCCTTGGGTTTGCTGCAGTGTTCAATATGGGGTAATTAAGGATCAAGCAAGCTGCTTCCACAGGTGCAGCAGTAGGAAGGAAAGCCTGCAGTTGCTTGTCTTTCACTTGAGTAATCTGGGCTCCATTCCAGCCTTCAGATCTTTGTGGGGTGGATAGCTGAATCGCCTTGGGGGTCGAGTGGGCTGCCCTAGCTTTGTCTCTAAACCTGGAGGGATACAAAGGATTGAACTGAACCTTTAATGAGCAAGGCAAGGTTATTTTTTCACATTAATTGTTCTTTTCTCTCTGTACAAGAAAGGTTCTGAATGCACCTTGTGATGCCTGTGACCAAGCCCTTTGAATGTTTCCTGTTATGGGCAACCTACATCCCATCACCCCACATTATGAGGGTACTCTGTCTTCTCCACCGTTGTGGGGAAAGGACGAATATACAGTTCTGACACCCTCAAGTCGGGGTGATGGAATTTGCCATCAAGGAACTGAAGCTCTGTGTTTTACTTTTCTTTCTTGTTTGTTCCATTATGCTTGTGGCCACACCCGGATATGCTCAGGGCCTTCTCTTGCCTCTGCACTCAGTAATCACTATGGACATGACTGAAGAACTGTAGGGGAAGTCTATGACTATACCCGGGTCCTATAGATGCAAGGCAAAAACCCTATCCGCTTTGATCCCGTTGCAGCGGCCCAAGCTGCATGCTGGATCCTTAATGACCCCATACTTAACATTTAAGCAAAGAGAAGGGCTGAAAACCTTT